CATATCTGACATGATTTGGACATGATTTGGAATCATATGTGACATGATTTGGACATGATTTTGACATGATTTGGAATCATATTTAATATGGTCAGCACTAGTCACTACATTTTATACATGTTATTTTTGCATAGAAACTATTAATTTTATTTGTATCATTTTGATTTTATTGGATGTTTTGAAGGTATATAATTTATATCTACGGCACTAAAAATACTAAATTTTGTATATTTAAAGAATAATATAATAAAATAAAGTATTTATTGGCCATACCATGTAAATGGTGAACAAATAAAAATAGACCAGTGTAGTAGGTTGATGCACCTCAAAGGAAGCAAAGACAATATTCATAAAGACAGTTAGTTGGAACAGCAAGGTCATTTTGGTAATTACAGCTCCCCACCTCATTGCATAAAATGATGTTGCCTTAGCATGTTTTATACACAAAACAACACAACTAATAAATTCTTGAGAAAGTTCTTTAATTTCAACTCAAAATCTTTAAGTTTTATTTTATCAAATGGCTGCGAAAAGCAGAGTTTTGATTATTGGAGGAACAGGGTGTATTGGTAAATTTGTAGTGGAAGCAAGTGCAAAATCTGGACACCCAACTTTTGCTTTAGTTAGGGAGACCACAATTTCTGATCCTGTTAAGGGAAAAATTGTTGAGAATTTCAAGAATTTGGGTGTCACTATTATTAATGTATGTATATTATATGGTGCATTTGTTAATAAATTGTATATGCAAGTATATTTTAGTTTCTTGTTTTTTGAACAGGGTGATTTGTATGATCATGAGAGTTTGTTGAAGGCTATAAAACAAGTAGATGTGGTGATATCAACTATTGGTCAAATGCAATTGGCTGATCAAGTTAAAATCATTGATGCTATCAAAGAAGCTGGCAATATTAAGGTTAGTTACTTCTGGTTTTTCACAACTGGCTTTGACTCGAGACCTCTGGTTAAGGGTGTAAACTTGGGGCAGAGGGGATGATGGTGATCTTGAATAAAGTAATTTAGTAGGGGTGTTCACAGTTTGGATAAAAACCGATCCAAACCGAAAAACCAAACCAAACAGATAAAATAAAACCGATTTTATTTGGGTTTGATTTGGTTTAGTTTTAGATTTTTGAAAACCGATAGTATTTGGTTTGGTTATGGTTTTATTCGAAAAAAATCGAAGAAATAACCGAATCGAACCGATGAATTATATACATATATTTTATTAATATACAATATATTATTTTTGTAAACAATATTAAAGATCTTATACATATTTTCATTAAAATTTCTTTATAATTTACTTATTGAAAGCAAAAATGCCCAAGATGAAACATTTATCTTATTGATTTCATGTATATGAGTGTCTGTCAATTCTTTGTGGAACTGAAAATGTTATTGTCTCTTCCTTCTAGGCCAATATAGTGAATTTTAAAGCTTTATTGATAGTAAATTTAGTGATTGAAAATTTAGTAATTTAAGTCATTCTAACTATTTTTCGTTTTGAATGGATTGTTGTCACTTTTTTCACATTTTAAATGAATTGTTTCTTTTATTTTTGTGTATGGTTAATAACCGAATAACCGAACAAAACCAAACCAAAACCGATAATCACCAAACCGATAAATGTATATTATATTTGGCTTGGTTTGGTTTTGATAATTTTAAAACCGATTAAATTGGTTTGATTTTGGTTTTGACCAATAACCGATCCAAACCAACCCGTGAACACCCCTAATAATCATCTAAATATTAAAAGTCCCTCAATTAATGTATATAGGGTAAAATTTGGATTCGATTGGTAGATTTATTAGGAGATGACATGCGAAAAATGAAACAGGTCAGATGTGATTAGGGGCGGATCTACGTAGGGATACTTCAATAATGTTGATGGTTGCGTGTTGGATCATCCAAAAATAGTGTATTTTTGAAGGATCTAACATGGGTTCAGCAATATATTTGGAGAGTCCGAGCAACATACCCTCTAATTAAGGGAGTATTCATCTCGTTGATTTAAGGTAATAAAATGAGTTAGATTACTAATTGTTCACATGGCCTAGTGGAGCATCTTGATCTGCATAACCAAGTGTATGACAGAAATATGCAGCAAGTTCGCGTAAATGCCTCAAATTTGGAAGAATATTTCACTAGAGAATCTGAAAATCGTTTTAATGACTTCCTTTCAAAAATTAAGAAAAACATTTTCCAAAACTCTCCTCCAATTTCAAATTACAATTTTTTTTGTTGAAAAAATAAATTTAAAGCTTATTTTAAAAAAAATATTTTCAACTTCAAATATTTTCACAGAGCTAAATTATCTTGTGCTAAAAAAAATTCAGAGGTTCTTCCCTTCAGAGTTTGCTATGGATGTCGATAGGATCAATGCTGTGGAGCCAATAAAGTCTACATTTGTTGTGCAAGCCCAAATCCGAAGAGCTGTTGAGGCTGCAGAAATTCCCTATACTTACGTCTCATGTAACTATTTTGCTCGTTATTTCATACCAAATTTGGCTCAGCCAGGAGCCACTGCTCCTCCTCGAGACAAAGTCATCATTCCTGGAGATGGGAATGTTAAGGGTAAGTCGAAAAAAATTACTCCATTGATTTGAATTTGGTACGCGTGCCAACAGAACAAGTTCATGATAAAATGTCTCATTTTTGTCTGCAGCTGTATTCAATGAAGAACATGACATTGGCACCTACACCATTAAGGCTGTTGATGACCCGAGAACGTTGAACAAGACCCTTTACATCAGGCCTCCCAAGAACACCTTATCGTTCAACGAGCTTGTGGCTATATGGGAGAAACTGATTGGTAAAACTCTCGAGAAAATCTACGTTCCAGGGGAGCAAATTCTCAAAGACATCCAGAGTTAGTAATCTTTATATCATTCATCTGTTTCTTTCAATTTAACATAGGTAATCCTGACAATGTATATTGCATACTGTTGCAGCATCTCCGATACCAATCAATATCATACTATCAGTCAACCACTCAACATTCGTGAACGGTGATCATACCAATTTTGAGATAGAGCCATCGTTTGGGGTTGAGGCCTCGGAAATTTATCCAGATGTTAAGTACACCACCGTGGAGGAGACCTTGGTCACGTTGTCTGAACTACACGTTTGATGTCTTCGATAACTCGAATAAACTGTTAGATGATGAGTGTTGTCAGACATTTTGTCTGGAAGTATGAGTGCTTGTTAACTATGTCATCAGAGACGGGTTGAATGGTATGTTTTAAGTCTGTTTTTTCTGTCCATACTGCATAGTACTATAATGAATATGGAAGACATTCGCGTTTTTCTTCTTTTTGCATTGTTGCTCTACCATCTTGTGCCAGATTTTAAGGTGTTATGTAATAGGGGTGGCAAATGGTTGGATTGGATCGGATTTGGATGGATTGAACAAAAATGGTTTGGATTACAATCCACCCAAATATAATATGGGTAAATATGGATTTGATCAAATATGGTTTGGGTAAAATGGTTCTAACACATTTAAAACCTCTCCATATTTCCTTGACTAAGTGAACTGGGACTTCATGACATCAATTTACCCCCTTCCCCGGGGCGCCCCCCACCTTCCACCAACCGACCCCTAATTTTTTTTTGTTTTCCAAAAACAAAAAAAAATATTTTGTTTTTCAAAAAAAAAAAAAATTTACCCCCTCCCCCCGTCCCCCTCCCTTCCACCAACCTACCCTTAAATTTTTTTTTGTTTTTCAAAAACAAAAATAAATGTTTTTTCAGTTAAGTTTGAAAATTAATTGAATTTTTGAAAATTAATCTTAAATTCTTTTATTTTTTAGCACAATTAAGAATTTTGAGTGAAAGTGAAAACTAAGTGATCTATCCATATTTTATCTATTTTGATCATATCTGTAGAGACTCTTAATATAGCTTGAAGCCCATATTTACCCAATTAAAATATGAGTGATCCAAGTCATTAAATATGAATAAAATAGACTCATTTCGTTAATATGGGCTGAAATTGTCACCCTAATATGAAAGAGTCTTGTTGTCAATAAAGATCAATCACAGAGGACTCTCTCCTGTTTATATATGAGGCTCACTCATTTCAGTTATCTCTAGCTTTCTTATGAGTTCAGGTATCGTATGGAATATAATCCACGGATCATTAGGAACCTATGTAATAGTATCCCAATCAAATAGCTGATGAGCGGATAAATAGTGATTGGAAAATATTGTCAATTTGGTCTGATGATTTTACGTGATGAGTTATTACCCTACCAATCTAACATTATCATTCATGCTTTAGTCATACGCCAGGAAAACCTTCCAACTTCACCTAACTTTTGTTAGGAAGAATATGCTGCTTCACTCTAGAATGGATCATGATCCTTTCTTAAGTAAAGTGGAGATCTTTACGCGAATAGCCGAGCAGATTTACTGTTTACTTTTTAGAAGGCCACATTTTATGATCTTTGTTTGGAGCTCACTCAAGCTATAATTATGCTATGAATTATATATATTGAAAAAATAATGAGTATTGAACGTATCGTTTCAAGTTTCTCCCATTCTTTTTGGCACATTACACTATGAAGTGAACATCTCCCACATTCATCAACAAATTCAATTTTTATACCACTTCTTCTTTAAAAATCCCAAAATTCATCCGTCTGCCTATTTACGCTATCGGAGAACCCACAAGCTTTGTCAACCTATGGTAGCATCTAGCGAAGCAATTATCGATGCATTTTAAGAAAAAGTTCAAGCTCTTCTAAATCTTGTTCATGATCGTTTCCATGGAATGATTAATAGTTAATATTCTGAACTCATCGATTTAATATTTTCGTCAATAGATTCACTCATATTTTTTGCCAATGGTGGTGTAGTGATTTGGAAGAAGCAAGATATAAGTAAAATGAAAGTGCAGGTTAGGTTAGTAATGGTGTAATGGGTGTGGTGAGTTTGCAGGAAGAGTGGAGAAGAAGAGAAATAAATTAGAAGTTAATATTAAAGAAAATGAAGAGTTTGTTGAAGGCTATAAAACAAGTGGATCTGGTGATATCAACTGTTGGTGCAATGCAATTCCGCTGATCAAGTTAAGATCATTGATGCTATCAAAGAAGCTGGCAATATTAAGGTTAATTACTTCTTGTTTTTCGAAACGGGGTTGAACTCGAGACCTCTGGTTAAGGATGGAGGGATCTTATTTATCTGTATGCAACATGGGACAGAGGGGATAATGGAGTATGGGGATCTTGATTACAGTAATTGTTGATGAAAATTCTTGAATTTATCGATAAACATTTGAATTAGAGAATTTGGCTTAAATCTATGTTGCTCAGATACTTCAATAATGTTGATGGTTGCATGTTGGATCGTCCAAAAGTAGTGTATTTTTGGAGGATCCAACATGGGTTCAGCAACATAATTGGATAGTCCGAGCAACATAGCCTCCAATTAAGGGAGTATTCGTCTCGTTGATTTAAGGTTATAAAATGAGTTAGATTACTAATTGTTAACATGGCCTAGTGGAACATCTTGATCTGCATAACCAAGTGTATGACAGAAATATGCAGCAAGTTCGCGTAAATGCCTCAAATTAGGAAGAGATGAACGCTGTGGAGCCAATAAAGTCTACATTGGCTGTGAAATCCCAAATCCGAAGAGCTATTGAGGCTGCAGAAATTCCCTATACTTATGTCTTATGCAACTGTTTTGCTGGTTATTTTTTAGCAACTTTGGTCCAGCCAGGAGCCACTGCTCCTCCTCGAGACAAAGTCATCATTACCGGAGATGGAATTGTTAAGGGTAAGTCAAGAAAAAATCCTTAGGTGGTGACTCCATTGATTTGAATGTGGTACGTGCGCCAACAGAACAAGTTCATGACAAAATGTCTCATTTTTGTTTACTTTTTTTCTGCTTTGTTTCTGTTTGTCTGCAGCTGTATTCAATGAAGAACATGACATTGGCACCTACACCATTAAGGCTGTTGATGACCCGAGAATGTTGAACAAGTCCCTTTACATCAGGCCTCCCAAGAACACCTTATCGTTCAACGAGCTTGTGGCTATATGGGAGAAACTGATTGGTAAAACTCTCGAGAAAATCTACGTTCCAGAGGAGCAAATTCTCAAAGACATCCAGAGTCAGTAATCTTTATATCATTCATATTTAGTCAAGACTACTGTTTCTTTCAATTTAACATAGGTAATCCTGACAATGTATATTGCATACTGTTGCAGCATCTCCAATGCCAATCAATATCGTACTAGCAATCAACCACTCAACATTCGTGAAGGGTGATCAAACCAATTTTGAGATTGAGCCATCGTTTGGGGTTGAGGCCTCAGAACTTTATCCAGATGTTAAGTACACCACCGTGGAGGAGTACATTGGCCACTTTGTCTAAACCACACGTTTGATGTCTTCGATCACTCAAATAAACTGTTAGATGATCTAGTGTTATCAGACATTTTATCTGGAAGTATGAGTGCTTGTTAACTATGTCATCAGAGACACATTGAATGGTATGTTTTAAGTCTGTTTTTTCTGTCCATACTGAGTAGTACTATAATGAAACTACAGAAAACGGAAGATACATTCGCGTCTTTTTACTTTTTACATTGTTGCTCTACCATCTTGTACCAGATTTTAAGGTGTGATGTAATATGAAAGAGTCTTGTTGTCAATAAAGATCAATCAAAGAGGACTCTCTACTGTTTATAAATGAGGCTCACTCATTTCAGTTTTCTCTAGCTTTCTTATGAGTTCAAGTATCGTATGGAACATAATCCACGGATCGTTTGCCTTAAAATCTAAAGAATTCCGTTAGGAACCTATGTAATAGTATCCCGATCAAATAGCTGATGAGCGGATATATAGTGATTGGAAAATATTGTCAATTTGGTATGATGATTTTACATGATGAGTTATTACCCTACCAATCTAACATTATCATTCATGCTTTAGTCATACTCCACTGCTTTTTCCATACCAGTTAGGTAAACCTTCCCACTTCACCTAACTTTTGTTAGGAAGAATATGCTTCTTCATTCTAGAATGGATCATGATACTTACGCGAAAAGCCAAGCAAATTACTGTTTACTTTTTTTAGTCAGTATACATAAATTATACACGATCATACACATATTATACATATATTACACATCCACCATTATCGTTATATGAGAAAGGAAAAACAAATGAAAAAAAAAAAGTTGAATAGAATAAAAAGAATTGACCAATTGCTTCTGTAATATAATAAATGGAATTGTTGTTGTACCTTCTGTAGATATATATATATATATATACACCAAATAATATTTTGTCCATCCATCCCTTGCCAAAATAATGCAAGCACCACCATGTCTCAAATGCTCAAGTGGGGTTACCTTAACAATTTGAAATAATGGTACTCAATTTCTTCAACCAAAATGATGTTTTTCACTCTTCATCATTGGCCCCCTGTACACCTTATAAACTATGTTGCTCGGATCCTCTATAAATGTCACTCATGTTTGTATTAGATCCTCCAAACATACACTACTTTTAAAGGAACTGACAAAGGTACGACCACATTTTTGAAGTATCCGAGCAAAATAGCTTAACAACATTTTCATCTCCCATAGCCTCGTCGTCCATGTGTAGCGCCTTCCTTGGCAACAACCCCATCATTTTTCCAGCCTTTAGCTCACCTGCAAAAAGAGAGACTAATAACTTCAAACTTGATCATAAGACCATATAAAAACTAGGAAGTGATGAGACATTTTAAAAATATCAACAACAAGAAGGTGGGGGAATCGAACCGTCACCAATAAGGTGAAAGTTCAGATAGCCAACCAACTGAGCTACTTAGATTCCTGATTTTAACAATATCCTTACTTGTGTGTTTGATAACAAAAAATTCCCCATTGGCTTTAGCAGTAGCTGATAAACGTACAAGAATAGGAGTAACAATGGTAAGAACAGCCCAAAAAAATAAAATCAAGATAATTGTTCTTCCACTCATTTGATGGAGAATTTTCAGAAATACAATGAAAGAAGGATTTTAATATATATAGTAGCAAAACTATGTAGTAGTAGTAGTTAGGTAAGACTTAGCTGGCCATGTTTTATCAACTAATCAAATTGATGATAATAAAGTATTCCAAACTACTACTAGAAATTAAATAATGTGTATAATATGTATAAATAAACTCATTTTGTAATAAAAGTCAGATACTATGATGATATAATCTTGTTATTTTCCATGTTTTGGTTGTTAGGAAGTTGTCACCCTCATTACGAAGAAGGGTGGGTTCAATCTCACATTTTGTCATCAGATAACAAAGTTGATTTCTCCCCAAAATCCTCCGCAGCCGGGCCTCCAAGAGCAAGGAACCTCAACACCAACAACTTGGATCCTTCTTAGATGCAGAATAGTCAACAATCTTTTTGTAAAACTAAAAAAAGTAAAGAGAAATTGGTTAGTTAAAGCACAAAGTACAATTTTTGCAGCATGTGTTGGCTTTCTAACGTCCATTTCTATAATATCGAAAATTTCAAATTAGGCCCATTTTGTTATGTTAGTTTAGACTTAAATGAGAATTGAACATACAATTTTGACACAGAGAGAAAATATGTACATAAAATATATATTTTTTCGAAGAATTCATGAGTTCACATGCACCAATAGATATTTGAGTTTTTTTACTTTTTATGAGTAGCATTAGAGTCGGGTTATTAATCATGTAATATGATTATTGATTAGTACAGTGATTTTATCATTACTCCTATTAATTGATACTCCCTCCGTCCATAATTGTTTGGCAGGTATACTAAAATAGATGTCCAAGATTAATTGTTAATTTAAACAATCAAGAAATAATTAGTCACTTTTTTCCAATTCTGCCCTTAATGATAGTGTAGTTCAATTGAAAAGTTATGTGGTACTTTTGGTATTCTTGGTATAGTAGGGTTATATTAGTCAAATTACACCTTGTATTAAAATTTTCCTTGAGGGGTGTGCATAACCTTACCCTGACAAACAATTGTGGACGGAGGGAGTAGAGTTTTAATCATATTTACTTCACTATATTTTTCAAATACATTAACTCAATGCAACTAAATTGAGGGTATAATAGAAAGAAAAAAATTGTTCTTCCTTGATTTGTCAAAAATGACAAGTAAAAAGGGAAATCAAATTAGAAAATATTTGACAAGTAAATAGGGATAGAGAGAGCATACAACTCTAAGAAACAACTTCTCCTCTAGAGTTCGACTCCTGTAGAGTTCTATTTTATCGAAGAAAATATTTGAGTTTTTACTTTTTATAACGTAGCGTTAGAGCCAGATTATCGATTATGTAATATGATTTGTTTCTATTTGTAATTTGAGCAATGACCATTAGGACCCCATATTTACTTTAATTTAATTACTTTCTATATTTTGATAGATTACTTCTATGACTATCTTTTGGGAGAATAATTCAATTGGAATTAAGAAAAACCTTAAATTTTTCTAAATGAATTGACTTAATTTCCAAATTTACCCTTTGGAGGCCCTAGGCATGTGGTATTCACTATTCTGCCCTACCATTACTCTGTGAAAGCCTTCATTTCTCACTCAATCGTCTCTTTTGCTAGGCCACAATAACACAAACACCTTGACTGCACAGCCCCACTGATCGAAAGAGGGCTAAACGAAGAAGGAGGAGGTAAAAAATGGGAACCCTTGGGAAAGCAATTTACTCCCTGGGATCCATCGTTCGAGCGACCGGCAAAGCTCTTGATCGCGTCGGAAATCGCCTTCAAGGCAGCTCCCACATAGAGGAACACCGTAATTTCCTTATTCTTAACCCTAGATCTCACCTCCCGTTTCCTCCACAATGTTTAATTTACCGATGTTTGAATATGATGTTGTGTCGCTGATGCATCTATGATTGTTTATGTTATTGCATTTTATCCTAATTTGTTAATACTTTTTGTTTGGGGAAAAGTGATAAGAGTTTGGAGTGTGGTGGTTAGAATATTTGATGTTCATTTTCAGTGTGAGGACATTTAGAAATTGTTCCTAATTTAGAAGTTGCCGTTAGTTAATAAGCTTATTTACCTTGTGTCTCTATTGCTTCTATGCTTGTTAATGTTATTGCATTTCATCCGTTGAGCTTTGTTAGTACTCTTTGTTTAGGAAAAAAATGGTAAAGTTTGGAGTGTGGAGGTTAGAACATCTGATTTTCAATGTGAGGACATTAAGGAATTGATCCTAATTTTGAAGTTGTTGTGAGTTAATACGTTTATTTACCAATGTTTCAATATGATATTGTTGTCTCTTCTACATCTACAATTGTTTATGTTATTGCATTGAATCCGTTGGGCCTAGTTAATACTCGTTTGGGGGAAAATGGTATATTTTGGAGTGTGGAGGTTAGAACATCTGATTTCAGTGTGAGGGAAGACATTTAGAAATTACATAAATATTTTATACATTGAACAAAAATAAACTGTAAGTCGCAACTTCTATATGAAAAAAAATTAGTGGAAGAAACATTGTGTGACTCTTCAATTAGTGCAAGTAGTATTCTTCTTGAGAATGTGAAACGAAGTCCTGTGAATGCCCAGTTCTCCTGTCTTCTTCAGGTCGTTATTGGAGTTCTTAGATTTGCACTTTTGAAATGGGTGTCCAGTGCCTATGAAGTTGTGCTTTAGGAAAAAGAACTAGGAAAGGGCGAAAAAGGCGTTTTGGAGTGGATTGTAATGCGTATTCATAATCTTATACTTATTTGAATTCTATGTTCAGTAGCTTTAGGTAACTGATTCTAAGTGCAAATGAAGTACAAGAGAATGAAAGATGTAAAATGTTAGAATTGTTCTTGTAAAGCATAAGAAACACAGGGGATTACCTTCAGGGCTGGTATCTTAGAAGAACCTTTCCTTATGTGACAAACCTATTTGCTCGGTCCTTTTGATCAATCCCCTTCTACTCATGGTTAGGATTTCGATTAGCCTCTTTGGTTGTTGTTAAGACACCAAAGACCCTTCCATCCCCAAAAGTTGTTTGGTTGTTTAAGGGTATCCCAGGAGAGAGCAAGTTAGACCTTACTTAGGGCAAAATATGCATTGGATGGTTCATTCTTGTCTGAATAGCACCACTTACGCTTATATAAGTGGTGCTATCTCTTATCAATGTAAGGAACCTGTCAAAAGTGAGTAGAGTTGGCTACTTTCTTTAGAACCCATTTGCTTAATGACATTAACTCAACCTATTCCAGCTGCATATTAAGCAGATTTTTAAGGACTATTGGTGCATTAGGCAGTTTATATGCCCACCAAGTATTTTGCTGATTCAAATAGTTGTGCCTTGAGATGGAGGATGGATCACAAAGTTGGTTTAAGTTGTCCCACATTGGTTGTGGGATGTGGAATTGATCTCCTTATATCTTGGACAATTCTCACCTCATGGCTAGCTTTTGGGGTTGAGTTAAGTGTAAGATGCACTCCTAATCATGATAGCAAAGCCAAACACATCCATTATTTGACCCTCATATTATGGTGTCCATACTCCCTTTGACAGGCTCGGGCGTGTGGGAGTGTTACGTTGTCCCACATTGATTGTGAGATGTAAAATTGGTCTCCTTATATAGTAATTGGACAATCCTCTCCTTTTTTTAAAAAGATAGAAGTAATTGGACAATCCTCTCCTTATGAGCTAACTTTTAGGGTTACGCTAAGTCCAAGGTCCATTTTTATCAGTTGGTTGTTGACTTAAGAGGAGCCTGAAGTGAAATTTTGGGTGGATTTCTTGCTGGTTTCCATTATGAATTGAGAACTTGATTGTTATGCTAGTTGCTTCACTCTCCCTTCTAAAACATAGAATATGCCTACTAAGAGCAGGAATGCAGGATGTGATATGTAACTTGAACAATTATCCACTTTATTGCCACTATTATCCATTATCTTTTTTAAAATAAATGATATTAAGTGATGCATTATTGTCATATTTATTTATTCTCATATGAATTGCACCAGTTATGCCTCATTGATCTTTCATACAACAATTCTCAAACACCATCTCCCTTATTAAAAGAAAAAAAATGTCTGTTATGTAGCCTTCCTTCTAGTAATTAGACTCCTTTAAGTGGTCAAATTTGAACTTAAGCTTGGTTAGTTACACCTTCTATGTTTCAGTGTCCAGGCATCGGACTCTTATGAACATTTTTGATAAAGCTCCAGTGGTGGATAAGGATGTATTTGTAGCTCCAGGTGCCACAGTCATTGGAGACGTCCATGTGGGACGCAATTCATCTATTTGGTATGGATGTGTGCTAAGAGGTAAGTATCTTATCACAACATTGTTATTGTTGGATGGTACGTTCAAGTGTTACATGGCAGTTTTGATTCTCAAGTAATAGTAGTTTTGACCATGTTTCCATGACTCCGCCGTTGTTCTAGTGCATAAAATAGTGAAGTTGGTATGATGCACGCTATCCATTGGCAAATAAGAGTTAATCTTTTGTTGCTTGTTGGCCTTCTATATTCTTCCCTCAATTCCTCTTAATTTAGAACAAACTATTTGAAAAATGATCAGCAAATGAAATGTTATTTTGGGAGCTTCTTGAAACTTGAACAATTTCTTGCTTGAGTCACTAGTTTCAGATCAAAAACCCAATTTCTGTAGATCTTTTCCTTCTTTTGGCCGTCAAACATCAATTGCAACGGTTTGATAGACGCTTCATTGGGATAGATGTAGGAAATCTCTTCTCCTCTTCCCTTCTCCAGTTCTCCTTGATAGTATATTATTCTTTTCAGTTCCCACAAGACACTTTAGAATGTAAAAGGAACTTTGGAAAATTTAAATGCATGAAATACCATTTATGTGGTTTTGTTTTAATTTGTACATAAGGACCCTAAAACCTGTGTTACATATGCCTATGTATAGTGTGTTAGTACATATACCTTCTCTTATCACATAAATAATCAGTGAAAATGTGAGGTGCTGTAAGGGTGTTCTCATCCCAGTCCTACCTGTTTAGGGAAATTTGAA